TGTTTTTCGAGACAGGGTTTCTCTGTAGCTTTGGAGCCTGTCCTGGAACTAGCTCTGTAGACCAGGCTGGCCTCAAACTCACAGATATCCACCTGCCTCTGCATCCGAATGCTGGAAGGCACCACCACCGCCCAGCCCTTTCTTGACACAGGGTTTCACACAGGCAAGTCAGCAAGCCTAAGCCACGCGTGTCCTTGAACCCTGCTCCTTCTGCCTCTCCCTCGAACGTGGGGCTTCAGAGATGTTCGTTTATCTTCTTACTTTTATTTCGAGCTGTGACTCTCCTGCCCACATCCTAGAGTGACAAGCCTCCACCACCAGGCCAGCTCCTTCTTCATAATTTCACAGCTTTGTCCTTTCCCGAGGTACTAGTGGCCTCAGCATATGGATACCCTCTTTTCCATAAGTGAAGAACTTTTACCTTTTCCCTTAAAGAGAACATTTTTATCAGTTTCTCTTAGGCATCTCTAAATCACCAGCATTAACCAGTTGAAATAACGGTTCCTTAACAAAGAAACTATGATTTTAGACAGTCAGTCTGCTCCTGAGACGGCTAAGTGACTAGTGGGGGAGGAGCGCATGTGCATGGGGACCTTCTGTCATGCCGCTCATTCTCCTCATTTATCCCTTAGCTCTTCCTCTTTTTCCACCTCCTCCTCCTCTCTCCTTCTCTCCCTTTTCTTCTTCTAGACAGGGTCTTATATGCATCTGACTGGTCATGAACTCACAAAAATCTCCCTATCAGGAGACACTAACTCCTGAGTGTTAAAGAAAGGCATCTTCTTTTTTGGTTTTGTCATCTCGTGTGTCCCAGGCTGACAGCAAACTGAAGGTGTAGATGAAAATGACATGGAACTCCTCGTGCTCTGGTGCTAGGATGACAAGAGCCGTCTACCATGCCTGACTTTTTGTGAAGTAGGACAGGGGCTGGGAAGCTGGCCCAGTGTGGCACAAGCTGAGGAGGACCTGACTCAGGTCTCCGGCACCCATCAGAACGCTGGAGTGACAGTGCGTGTCTGAGACCCCAGTTCTGGAGGGCTGAGACGGAAGGGTAAGAGAGGAGACAGAGAGACAGACTTAACAAGAAAGGCTCTCTTGAGAGTGGAAGTGTGTTAAAGCTTGGACAGATCCAGGAGTCAAAAGCATTTGTTTCGAGACAAGTTTTTGCTCTGTGCCCTTGGCCTTCCAAAAACTATAATTATAATCCTAAGCCACCTAACCACATTCAATGTGCAATTAAAATTTATGAGTGTGGGCTGACAAGAATGTTTAGAGGGTAAAGGGGCTTGCCACATGGCATGATCACCCGAGTTTAATGCCTAGAACCCATATAAGGTGGAAGGAGAAAACCAACTCTACAGACTCGTCCTCTGCCCTCCACAAGTGTCATGGCACTCCCTTCCTACTTCTACACACACACGCTAATGATACATTTAATAAAATTATATTAGAAATTCCTTATAGTTATATACCTTCTGATCCACATAACTCAGAAGGCAGATTCACAAAGATCACAAGTTAGAGGCTAGCCTGGGCTATACAGTGAGATCCAGTCTCAAAAATCCAAAAACATGGGCTGGAACGAAGGCCCAGTGGTTAAGAGCACTTGTTCTTGCAGAGGACCCAGGTTCGATTTCCAGCACCAACATGGTTGCTCACAGCTCTCTGTAACTCCAGTTCCAGGGGTTCTGATGCCCCCAACTAATGTTGAGAGGTTTCTGTCCAGTCTGGGCCCACAGCCATTCAGTCCCAAAGAAACACACAGAGGCTTACATTAATTATAAACTAGTTGACCTATTATCTCAGGCTTCTTATTAACTCTTATATCTTACATTAACCCATAATTCTTGTCTGTGTTAGTCATGTGGCTTAGTACTGTTTATCAGTGAGGCATTCTCATCTTGCTTCCTCTGTGTCTGGGTGACAACTGCAGACTGAGCCTTTCCTCTCACAGAATTCTCCTGTTCTGGTCGCCCCGCCTATACTTCCTGCCTGGCTACTGGCCAATCAGCATTTTAGTAAATCAATACAAATGAGAAATCTTTACAGGGTACAAGAGCATTGTGCCACAGCACACTGGCTTCTGCAGGTACCACGTATGCATGCGTTTCACTTACATACATGCAGGCAAACACACATAAAAATGAAATAAGTCCAAACTGAGCATGGTGTGTTTAATCCCAGCACTAGGGAAGATCTCTGAAGGCCAGCCTGGTCTACATAGTGAGCTCCAGGACAGCCAGAGTTACATAGAGGAACCCTGCCTTGAAAAACCAAAATAAACAAATAAATAATCTAAATATTTTTTTAAAAAACAAAACAAACAAGCAAAACAAACAAACAAAAGCCAGTCTGTGAATTGTTTATTTTTAGAAATTTTCATTTAAGGAAACTACCAGTAATTGAAACCAGAGAAAGAAAAACTAAGTCAGAAGGGTATTGCTTGTGATTTGGATAGGAAGAGACCAGAAAAGAGACAGATGAGGCCACTTTTAGTGTTAGAGGAAGGTGCAGGACCACTGGCTCACATACGACACCCTATGCTGGTCTTGTAGGACCAGTTTCTACCCACACAGGGTAAGTCAAAATGGAGTCAGAGCTGTCAGGGAAGATTGGTACCAGGACAGGTTCAGATTTCGGCCAAAAAAGAAGAGCCAGGGCTCAGCTGTTACCCACGCTGGGCTCCTTCATCGGCCGAGGCAAGAAATGGAGTTCAGTTCGAGGTCAGCATGGTTGGAGTACAGAGGCAGTCTCTGTCTGTCTCTGTCTGTCTGTCTCCCTCTGTCATCTCTCTCTCTCACACATACCAGAGTTAGTTTTGAAGGGGCTGGGACTGGGAATGCAGCTCAATTGGAAGAGCACTTGCCTGGCATGCACAAAGCCTTGGGTTCCATCCCAGCGCTGTCAGCTGGGTGTGCAATGCCAGCATTTGGGAGGTAAAGGCAGGAGAAGCACAAGTTTAAGATCAGCAAGCAAAAAGGAAGAAAACACAAAACCAAGAAGCCACCCTTGGCTATATAGTGCATTCAGGCCAACTGAGCCACAGAGAGAAGCTGAGTATACCTATGGAAGGGTGAAGATCAGCAGGGCTCAGGATCAGGTAGGGTCAAAGGTCATGAGATCCGGCTAAAGATGGCACTTTAGGACAGGGTCATAGGTGATATTTGGAGAGCGGTGGAGGTCAAGACAGGTTGCAGGTCAGGGGCTGGTGTCTCAGTGGGGTCAGAGACAAGCAATGGGGTCACAGCTAGGTTAGGACAAGGGTCTTACATACATAGCACACAGTATAGGGTTCTCCCAGTGGGGGGTGTCGGAGGCATGCTGGGGATCAGGGCAGAGCCCGCGTGACCCCCAAAGTAGTCCCCTGTCGCTCATCGCCAGGTTCTCCCCAATCGCCATCGATGGCATGAGTGGCCTGGCAGGTGTGGGCTTGTCCGGAGGCGCGGCAGGCGCTGGCTGGTGCATCTTCGTGTACAACCTGTCCCCGGAAGCTGATGAGAGCGTGCTGTGGCAGCTTTTCGGACCTTTTGGGGCAGTCACCAATGTCAAGGTCATCCGGGATTTCACCACCAACAAGTGCAAGGGCTTCGGCTTCGTCACCATGACCAACTACGACGAGGCAGCCATGGCCATCGCCAGCCTGAATGGCTACCGCCTGGGTGAGCGTGTGCTGCAGGTGTCCTTCAAGACCAGCAAGCAGCACAAGGCCTGAGCACTTACCGCCCTCCCTCCCTGGGCAGCAGAGAGAGAGAATGAGAGCGGGAGAGAGAGAGTGAGAAAGAGAGAGAAAGAGCGTGACTGTAAGAGCAGGAAGACCCACACACTTGCAAAAAAACACCACAGGGTGAGCATCGGGATGGGGAGGGTCTGCAGGGAATTGAGGGGGAGGGGTCCCCCCATCCTCCCTGCTTTCCCCACCCAGCTGGGGCTTGTTCACTCTCTCGTCTTGGTTTGGTTCACGGTGATGGCTTTTGTTTCTTTTTTTGGCTAAAAACAAAAAGAAGAAAGCAGAGAGGAGACCCCCCCATCCCACCTCACCCTCTCCACCCTGCATGGGATGGCTCAGGGGACACAGCAGTGCTCCACCCAGGCCTCCTTTGCCCAGGCCTGTCCTATACCGAGAGAAAGGGGAGGGAACAGGTTTAAAAATCCCCAAAACAGCAAAAAACATGAAAGAGGGGTGTGGGCCTCCCCATTCCTGGCCCCAGTCCCTGGGCAGAATACAGGGAGCAGGGTTGGGGCAGGGTAGGAAGCAGAAACAAAACGAAAAAAAAAAGGGTGGGGTGGGGTGGGAGGGGAAGAAAAACTCTATTTTTGTAAAAAGGGAAAAAGACCTCGTGGAGAATTTTTACTGGGGATTCTTGAACTTGAAAAAAAAATCACAAAAAAAAGACAAAAAAAAAAAAAGAAACTATTTTGGCAAGTTATGTTTACCAACTAACTGGGGCGGGGGTGCAGGGAGCAGGGCTGAGGGTTTGAAAGTCCATAGGGCTGCCAGTGCGCGCGCATACACACACACACACACACACACACACACACACACACGAAGACAAGAGGGACATATACTTGGACCTTGGAGACACAGATACACAACACATACAGAAACATTTCAGGATACATTCAGGAAGGTGACCAAAGCCACAAGAGAGGATGGAGACACACGGACCCTTAGGGCTGTGTAGACATAGATACAGACATTGGCTGCTTGTCCACAAAACCATGTGACATGTGAAAGCCACTGCCACAGATCCATTTGGATGTAGGAATCTGGACACAAGTTTCCAAAGAGAGCCAGGGCTGCCGTCGGTTGGTGGACCTGGGTTCAGCCCAGTACTGCAGCAACCTGGAGCAGTGGTGCACATCCCTTGTTCTTCCTAGTACTTGAGAGGCGGAGGCAGAAGATCAGGTCAAGACTAGCCTTGGCTACATAGTGAGTTTAGGTTAGCCTGGGCTATATAAGACCCTGTCTCAAAAAACAAAAACAAAAATAAACAGGTCACCTAGAAACATACAACACCTAGGGACATACACCCATGTCCGCAGCATCCTACACGTCACCTAGATACATACAACACCTAGGGACATACACCCATGTCCGCAGCATCCTACACGTCACCTAGATACATACAACACCTAGGGACATACACCCATGTCCGCAGCATCCTACACGTCACCTAGATACATACAACACCTAGGGACATACACCCATGTCCGCAGCATCCTACACGTCACCTAGATACATACAACACCTAGGGACATACACCCATGTCCGCAGCATCCTACACGTCACCTAGATACATACAACACCTAGGGACATACACCCATGTCCGCAGCATCCTACAGGCCCAGACAAGACGTTCCTACTGGAGACCCTGACCCAGTTACTTCCTCCAGCCAGGCTGGTCCAGCTACTTCTCCCTGGGCCCCCAATAAGCCCCAGCCCCAGGTTCTCTGCACAGACTCCTTAGCCCACCAGGGGCCTCCCTGCTGCCCACACATACGGCGTCCATGCATCCAAACACACAATACCTCGTTCTACTTTGGCATCACCGTGGGCTGGAGGGGGCTCTCACTCCCCACAACACTGAGGCCAAAGGACCCCTACCCCTGGGACTCAGCCCCCCTGGGTCCAGGGGGAGGTCTGCAGTCTCCTCCCTCAACCAGGGCCAGTGTGCTCCCCACTGCAGCAAGCACCCAGAACATCCCCCAGACCCAGGGGTGTCCCCACATCCCTTCCCATCAGCGTGTCACCTTTTGATTGTTGGGTATTTTTGTCTTTCTGGACTGTGGGGGAACCATGGATGCAGCCTTCATGAGCCCTGGCCCTGGCTTCTGACTGAATTTTGCATCCATAACCCCACACTCTTTTTATTCTTTTATGCAAGTTCCAACAGAAGCCACAGGCTGGAGCCCCTGGGAGCCCCAAACCTTCAACCCATCCCTCAGTGGGCCCAGTCACAACTGAGAATCGTGAAGCCCCACCCCACCCCACCCCCACCCTCTAGTTCTAGTTGCTTTCTTCCGGTGTCCTCTGCGTTTGGTGTCTGGCCATGGCCCCATCTGAGCGTCCAACTCTCTCTCCCCACCCCTCCTGGTGTTGTTCTTAACCGTCTGTGGAATTTCTGCTGCAAGGAACAAAAAGAAAAAAAAATTAAAAAAAGACCAAAAAATAAAAAAACGGAAAAAAAAAGAAAAGAAAACTCAAACAGAAGATGAAATATAGCAACAGGAAAGAAAGGAAAAAAGACAAAAACACACACAAAGACAATTTAAAAACAAAAAAAAAGGAAAAAAAGATAAACTGTCACCAGTTAACTTTCTCGTACTTTTTTGCTGAATTTAGCTTCATGTAGTTTTAACTTATTGCTATGTTAACTATTTATTACCCTTGTTGGCCTGTAAGGACCTTTGTGTATATTTCTGTTCTTTCATTGGTTTGCAAGTTGAAGGAAGATGTCCCTTTTCTTTCAGTTTTGCTGAGATGTGGTTATGCCTAATTTATTTATAAAAAGGGGAAGTGGAGTCATTAAAGTAATAATTATTAATAACAGTAATGGTAGCGGAGTGCCCCCTGGGGTGCCGTGGGCTCCCCACAGCTGTTGGTGCCCAGGGCCTCTCAATGGGATTGTTTTGCTATTGTCTTGAGAGGTTTTTCTGTCTATTTAGCTGGTGAACTCTAGCTTGCTCATGATACACCGAACCTATTTATTCTGGTGGTTTCTAAGTCTGTCCTAATCCTCCCCCATCCCTCCCAGCAGGACAGGGACTCCCCACCTCCAGGAGGGTGCAACCCCTTCTTTCCCTGCTGTTTCTGGGGTCTCCCCCTGCCTTCCACACATGCTGGAGGCATCCGAGCAATAAGGGCTGGGTTTGTCCCCCACCCTGGGGGGAGGGCCGGCTCTGAAGAGGGGGCTTCTCCCCCCACCCCCTCCCACCAAGGCCTAGGTCCCTGCTGTCCCCAAGACTGGGAGGAGGGGACTTTTTTTCTAAGATACAAGCTTAGCCCAGCTAGCCCCCCTCCCTGAAGGCCAGTCCCCCAGGAGGGCCAGGCCAAGGGCTCCCAGGGAGAGGAGCCCTTGGGTCTTCCAAAATCCCTGGGGGGTCACGGGCAGGGCCAGTGGGAATGGGGCTCAGCCCCTCCAACCCTTCATTCATCCTGTTTATTGGGAAAGTTTCAAACCATGACAGAGTCCATGTTGGAGGTGATATAAAGAACTGTAGAAAAGAAAAAAAAAAACTAAAAAAAAAACAAACCTCAACCCAAACCCACAAACACTTCAAGTTGCGTTTAGACTATTTATTACCGAGATTCCAGGCCTGGCCGCGGTAACTGACTTTTACATGGAATTGTTTAATTATTTGTACTTTTCATGCCAGAGAATAAAAAGTTCAGAATCTTAAGTCTCAGGTGATTTGTGGGCAGAGGTGGGCAGGTCTGTGTGCTGGGACCCCCGGGAAAGGATGCCATCCCTCCCTGGGCTGGGATCTCCACTCCCCATGGGAGACTCAGGAAACTGATAACAGTCTACTGTCTACCGATTGCTGGGGCCTGGATGCCTTCGCTGTCAGTTGGGTTGTGGTGCTGCAAGAGGCTGCACCTACTGCTTCCCTAGGTGTAAACTGCAGCCGCGACACCACACCTGACAGTTCAAGAGTCCAGTCATCACAGCAGGAAGGCGTGGCAGGAGCTTGAAGCTGCTGGCACTGCAGCCAGGAAGCAGAGATGGCTGCAGGAGCTAAGGTACACGTCACCAAGCCTGACCTCTGTTCCTTCTCTGTAACTACAGCCAGGTCTGTCTCCTAGGCAACTCCAGACCCTGCTAAGTTGACAGTGATACCCACCACCTTCCGCATCTGCCTCCTGTTCACACCCCAAAATAAAGGCAGATCTAGCTAGGCATGCTGGCCCATGCCCTGAGCGACTGAGGAAGGAGACAGCCTGAGGCTGGCCTCAACTATATAGACCAACGGGGAAAAAAGGCACACACAGTCAATACGGACGAGTCACATTTATTGTTCTGAGGTCACGTGTGAGGTCATCCACTCATCTCCTACCAGCTGGGAAGGCAGGGGTGAGGTGGAGCAGAGATTAACTCCCACCCAAAAATCCAAGGAGGGTGAGCTCCTTTATCCATCTCTGGAGGCCGCTGGGGCCTCAGCAATATGGATGGCTTGGCTAGCCTGGGCCAGAAGTGGGGCTTAGAGCACCACGGGGTTCCTGCTACCTGGAGAATGGCCAGGAACCCTGCCTGGGTAGGCAGGCCTTGGTCCATAGACTGCAGGATCAGTAAACAGGTTTCAGGCCTTGAAGTTCTAGGATGGAAGACAGAATTAGAAAGACGGAGGGCCCAGGACATGGGCTGGTGCAAAAGCAAGCACCCCAGCACTGGAAACTTAAATTATTTCTGGAAGATGTGGCTCAGCTGGCAGACTGTGTGCCTAGCACAGAAAGCCCTGGGTCAGTCGTCAGTACCTCGTACACTGGGCGTGGTGGGTGGCACAGTGGGCAGGACTGACAAGTGCTCAAGGCCAGTATGGACTACACAATAAACTGTCTTTTTTGTTTTCGAGACAGGGTTTCTCTGTTTCTTTGGAGCCTGTCCTGGAACTCTACAGAGTGAGTTCTAGGAAAGCCAAGCAAGAATACACAGAGAAATGAAACCCTATCTCGAGCACTATGAATGAATGAGAGAGAGAGAGAGAGAGAGAAAGAGAGAGAGAGAGAGAGAGAGAGAGAGAGAGAGAGAGAGAGAGAGAGAGAGAGAGAGAGTGAGTGAGTCAGGAGCACAGGTTAAGAAAGTAGCAACATCCACACTAGAGCTGACAGAGACCCAGCCTCCTTACCAGGCTACAGCTCATCATGGTCTCCCTCAGTGGGTGCTTCTGGTGGGGGTTCTGGGCAGGCTGCTGGTGTCACCAGCTCCATGAGGTACTCACAGCGACTGGGCTCCGTGGTACTGGTCACCACAGTCTCTTTGCCACACAGCAGGCGCACCTGGGGACGGGGACAGAGTAGGAGCGATGCTGGGCTGGGCTGGGCTGGTCCAGGCCCGGGTCCCCATAGCCCCAGGTCAGACACTCACTGTGGTTGAGCGGTTGGGGCCCTGCCAGCAGCCGGTGCCCTGCTCATACTTCATGGCACTGAACTTGTCATGATCGGGGCCAGCCCACGAGCCCCATGTGCTATGGGAGAGAGCAGGGGTGCTGAGTGCCTGGCCAGTGGGTGGTTGGGGGCAGGGTAAGGGCAACAAACCTCAACCCACTCACCCAAGGTTGGTCGGAGAGCCCCCATGTTTGGGTTTCTGAGAGACCAGTTTGAAGGGGCAAAGCCGGTAGATGTACCTAAGGGCGGGGAGAGGAGCTGCTGAGTGACAGACTTGACAGGTTTGGGGACCCTAGGTACCTCAAAGCCCTTCCCAGTCTCCTCGGTATCCAGGCAGACAGGTGGCTCACTGGCACTTCAAAGCCCACTGACCCCTGGACCCTGCCTGTGTTCCCTTCTGGACACAGGGTTCACATAGCCCAGGCTGACCTCAAACATACTCAAGTAACTGAGACTGGCCTTGAAATTACGATCCTCCTTACACCCACTTTGAGCATGTGCCACTATGCCCAGTTCCATGAGGTGCTGGGGATGGAGCCCAGACTCAACTTGAGGTCCTCCTGCCTCAGTCCCCCAGTGATGAGATCTCAGATAGGTACTACAACTCTTGTTCGCCCAGTGCCCTCCTCCCCTGTATCTTGCCCCTCCCCACCCCTCCCCCGACCAGTGCCAGGATGTACTCATTGGTTGTGAGCTCGTAGCATTGGCTGTAGAGGTATGCAAACTCTCCGTGGGGACCGAAGTCAAAGGAGATCTCTTGTTCCAAACTCCTGGAAAAGCAGATCCGATGGTGAAGGGGAGCAAGGACACGAGAGCCCCACACAGAAGGGTCCGGGGGAAGGGGGTGTAAGGACACGAGAGCCCCACACAGAAGGGTCTAGGGGAAGGGGGTGTAAGGATATGAGAGCCCCACACAGAAGAGTCCAGGGGAAGGGGGTACAAGGACATGAGAACCCCACAAGAAGGGTCCGGGGGAAGGGGGTACAAGGACACGAGATCCCCACACAGTAGGGTCCAGGTGAAGGGGGTGTAAGGATATGAGAGCCCCACACAGAAGGGTTCAGGCAAAGTGAGGACACGAGAGCCCACACAGAAGGCCCAGCTGTATATATGGTGGATAGACACAAGTTGTGCTTGGAGTCCTGCAAGAACCAGGCTGACACCTCCTCCAAGGAGCCGGCAGTAGACAGTCACCGGGCAGGAGGCGGCCTTGGGGCTCACCTGATGGACTCCTCCATCTCTTTCAAGGACCGTTCAGCTTCCTCAAACTTATTCCGGGCCTCTTGTGCAGCTGAGGGATGGGAGATGAGAGTGGGCCCCAGTTCCATGAAAGACCCAGGATGAGCCCCACAGAGAATGTGAAGGATAGGCCGACCAGCGCAGAGTGAACCTCCTGTCGCCGGGCTCTCTAGAGTACAGGCCAGGGCTCCTGGGAGCCCGCAGGTTCCCGCCCTGTTGTGCACATTTTACAAACAAGTGCAGCCCATGAGGAGGGAGGACTCGGGGATAGAAACAGTAACTCCCCAGCAACATGGACACTGCAGGGCCAGGGGTCCCTTCCCAGCAGGTCCCTACTCACCATCGATGACAGCCTGTGCCTCCTCATCATACGGTGGCATCTTTTCCTCCTCAGTGGGGCTGGCAGGCTGTGGGGGTTGTAGAGGGGCTGGGGCCTCCTGGGGAGGGGGCAGGGTCCAGTTAGCAGGCAGCCCCAGCCACCCATCTGCCCACCAT